GTACTTCACTCGTACTTCACCGTACTTCACTCGTACTTCACTCGTACTTCACCGTACTTCACTCGTACTTCACTAGTACTTCAGAAGTACGAAGTCTCGCTTTTCCCCCCTTGATACAGCTAATTATAGATAATAAATCATTTAGATAATTAAATGATCAATCGATATCGTCCGTTAGAAATGTGTTGATACGCTTTGATAGAGTTCTCCTAGTGATGAATTTTGCCATATCTGCCTTTCAATTAGTTTTCTATTTGCATCAGCTGATTGATTGAAACATGAATTTTAGAATTCATAGGCACAGAAAGAAACACTGATTTCAGTAAAACGTAGATGTCATTACGAAAAAAGCGATTTCTAAGGAATCGAAAAATCGTTTATTCATTTTTCTGAGATATCGTTTTTTCAAAAATCGAGATTTCATGCTTCGCATCGTGTTTGTATTTGAGTTTCACTCGAATACCATCTAGTTTCTAATATCTTTCAGTATTGATTTGCATATATATAATTGATCATTCATAAAAAATGCCAAGTACCATAACAGTAAACAGTATAAACAACATACTAGTTGTATTTTCAGCATCATTGAACCGATTTTCAGTATTTCAAATCTTGTTGTCCATCAATAACTAAGAGAAACGAACAATGAATGAATGATTCCATTTCTGAAGTACATCTGTGTCATGATGTAAAAAAGACGTGCATCTAAGGTTACAATCAATAATGTAATTCAATTACAAAAAACTTATTAGAGATAGTCTAATCTCACATTTGTCTCCGTTTTTGGTTATCTACAATCAATGAATCGATAAGTAACTAACTGATTGTTGTATATATGTATTATGGTGGAAAAATTCTAGTTAACTTTAACAATTTAATCAGTTAATTAATTGAGAAAAATTTTATTTTCTATTATTAGTATTAGAAAAATTGTTTTCTTTGTACTACGAAACTAATAAAATCTTTGTAAATCTTTTCTTATCATTACATCTCATTTAAAACAATTCAACAAAATAAATGATGAGAATTAATGAACAAATGAGGAACTCTTAGAGAATGATCTATCGCTTTTGAGATGAGTTATACTTCATTTCGTAGACTTTGATTGATACTCGAGAAAGTCTAAAAGGATCTATGTCCATGAATCTTTCTACATAAATTGTTCAACAAAATGCTACGATCGTCTCAGACGACTTACAAAACTGACATTGAAATCTAAATTTTACACTAATGAAATTTTGAATGGCAAAAGTTCGTCATCTGAATATGAGACTTTCTAGGATATTCTAATCTGAAATATAAATGTAAAAAGAAAATTTATTTCTTCTCATAAAAGAATTATCAATATTGATATGATTAGATAAGAAATACTAGAAAATCTAATGTTCGTGCTAGAATTGACGAGAACTGGATGTCAGCTCAATAACTTAACAACGGCAACAACTATCGACCAGCAATTTTCAGCCATTGAAAGAGAAGAACTCTGAATGACTTTTTTGTCGGATACTATATAAGACAAAATAATTTTGTCAAAATTACATTGAGATGGAACACATTGTTTTCATGCACTTTTTTAAATATTTTGCAAAGATAATCGATATTAAAATTATTTTGTCTTATATAGTATCAAACAAAAAAAGATACTCGAACTTCTGCTCTTCTGTTTATTGGCGATTGCAAGTCAATAGTTGTTGTCGTTGCCGAGTTATTGAGCTTACATCTACCCTTCTTTAATTTTAGCACGGACATTGTTTATGTACAACAAAATTTGAAGCCAGAAATTGATTTTACAGGCGATCGATGTAAGACCATAGTATTCTATTGAAAAATTCATTAAAAAGTCGATGACCGAATAGAAAAGATTCATGATCATAAATCTTTATTGATTTTCTCTCATAACAACCATAACAAAGTAAGACTTATCTCCAAAGCGATTTATTACTTGGCAAATTTCTTTGATAGGTTGATGAGAAAAATAATCTGTTATCAATAAAATTTTGTAAAAATCTTTATAAATCAATCAGGTATTTAAATAAACACGAAAATGTTCTTCTGTTTTTGTGTTAAATTAATATCATAAAAGCTTTCATCTATGTATTTTTTATTCATGACCATATGTAGTATAAATACTATTATAAGTACCATAAAAATCTACTAAACAATTCTGGCATATACTAATCTGACCATCGACAGACATGCCATCGCCTACATAAGAAAAGCAAGATAGAATGATAAATAATTGCTATTCTTTTTTTTTTTTTTTTCTTTCTTTTCCTTGTCTTAGATATATTATGTGCTCATATTTCTCGAACCATCGGGCATCAGTCGTAGCTCGATATAGAACAGCACCACTGTTCCCGAATAATTCTACAGTTATGCATGCGTATACTACTTATATGCGAATAGCAAGACAGGGAGAGAGAGAGAGAGAAAAATAAACATCCGGTCGGTTTTTTTTTGTATATCCTATATAGGTTATCCAGCGCAAAAGAAAAAGAAAAAAAAAAGGAAACCTACATCTTTTTATCTATCTATAATAGTAGAGAATAATTACATTTGTACTGTTTTAGCTGTACATATCAGCAATTCTTTTCTCGCCGCAGCAGTAGAACTTTAACGAGAGTAAGTCGATACAAAATATATCATTTTTTGTGTAAGAATATCTTTTTTTTGTTTTTTGTTTGTTCAGTGTCAAGTGGTTCAGCATTTAGCAATGTACTCAAAGCTAAGGAAGATTTACAAAAATCTTCTGAACAATTAGAACAAGAAAAACGATCACTTCTTTCACAACGTATACCAGCATTACAAGTTGAAGGAAAATCAAAGGAAGAACTTGTTGAAAAGGTTATAATGATTAATTTTATTCTTAAAATTATTATACTCCTTTTTTTTGTTTTTTTTTTTACAGGCAAAACAATTACATAATCTTCTTCATCAATTACATGGTTCTATTTATGAATTAACAGAACGATTTGAACGACAAAAATATGATGTTAGTAATCGGATAAAAATTTTTCTTTTTCTTATTTTAAATAAACATAAACGATTTTATTTAGATGATTGAATTAGGTGAACGTGCTCGTCAAATTGAGAAAGGGTAAAAATAAATGATTATATTTAATTAATTACATTGATTTATTTTTATAGAAAAGCTAAAACACGTAAATCAAATATTGTTCATACTGGTCTTGGTGGTGGTATGTAAGTATTAAAAATTTTATTATAAAAATAAAACAAAAAAAGAAAGATTTTCTTTTTAATTAATTTCAGGTTTTCTGGTGTCAATGATGTTACACAAGGAGCACCGGTTTGTAATTCTAATAGAATTTTTCCTTTGTTCAATAGTTTTTTTTTTTTTTTTTGGATTTTAGCAAAAAGTATCACTTTTCAGTCGATATGAACGTGGTAAGTTATCTATTATTAATATAATAATGATATGAAAATAAATTTTTACTTTAGTTACCGATCGTCGTACATACAAAGATCGTCGTGGTGTTTGGGCTGCAGAAAAAAAAGAAGCTGAGTTTGCTCCTGAACGTCCAAAAGCTAAAATAAAACATAATACACCACCTCCTGAAGAAAATCCATTACGTAAAAATAAAGGTGGTGCTCAATCTAAAAGTGAAGAAAAACAGGAAGTAAAACTCGTAAGTTATAATTGATAAAAAAAAAATTCATGTGAATTATTTTATGTGTTTTTTTTCTTTAGGGTTCTGGACCTGTTCACGAAGAAGCCGCAGCTGAAGAAGAACCTGCTGAAGAAGAACCAGCAGCAGCGCAAGAAGAGGAAGAAGAAGAAGAATAAACTAATAGATTAAATGACAATTATACCTTCTTATCATTTTAATCCTCGTTTTTTTTTCTGATTTTTCCTTATTCTTATAAATTTTATTGAATATCTAATAAATAAATGAGTTTATTCTTCAGCAGACATAATTATCTTCATAATCTTTTTGCATATGAATTTTTTGTTTTTAGTTTATTTTCACTTTAATATCAGGGATTTATTAGATCATATAGAATATTATATGTATTTATTGAACATATTAACAAAATATAAAATATTTTCATTGATAAATTCCAAAATATATTTGTCGACATATTCGATGTTTATGATCATTTTAAGTATTATCATTATCTTCATCTATTGGCAAAAATATATAGTTGAATAGTTGATGATTGATTCGAAATTTGCCTATTCATTTCAATAATAAGAAGTAATAATGGTATTATTTTATAAATAAACTATAAAATTTTCTATATTACATATCAAATTATAATTCACTATAAGATCAATAGAAAAATCTGTTTGAATTTTATTTGATTGATAAGTTGTTGTTTGAATTTGAAATATTATTATTGAATAAGATATCACAAATATTGAAATTAAATTGATTAAATAATAGACAAAGAAAAACTAGAATCAACATGTATATTGAATGTAATGAACTATACAAATGATATCATGTGTATCATTTATTATTACTTGATCGATCAAGTTACATGAATTATTACTTTTTATGAAGAATTTTTATATGTATAGGAAAAAAAAAGGTATGCTTAAGGGCGCATAAATGAATTATTAAAATGTATATATATTATAAACGATTGATTTAACTTTTATCAATGAATTTTTTAATAATCTAAATTTATCTCTATATGATATCGAAGTTCAGGTTTATGTAGTACTATTCTTTACTGATTCAGATCTTTAAATGGAAGAAATATATAGATCCTCTAAAGTTCGTTATATGCCTCATTGCTATTGCTGACACTTATATGCTCTTTCTTGCAATATATGATTGATATATTGGATAGCTCTATTATATTCTACTAGAACTATATTCCATCAATCGTTAGTTGCATAAAGATGTTTTATTAAGATAGTTCTGAAAGCATTGTAAAAAAAAAAGTTGATTAGTTTTTTTTTCTTGATTTTTTTTATTAATCAAATTTTTTTCTATAAAAAAATTCAATCCAAAAACAACACTAAATGTTGCTTGATGTTTATTCCAAAAGATTGGTTATATCGATATTAAGATAATCGATAGTCATTTTTGATAGAGTATTTTTAATATTACTACTAAATCTTTTTTATTACAAAATTTTTTTTTACTTTAGTCAATATGTTATAAGATAATATCAGTTAATTTATGTATTAAATTATTTTTTGTAAGTTGTTCTTCAAAAAAAAACAAATGTTATTTTATATTTTTAATTAACATATATTTCAAAAACATTTTGCAAACTGCTCTAAGCCGATAATCTTATCACACTGTCAAAAGTCATCATTCGAACTTGATATAATTGATCTGTTTTGTTTTTTTATGATACAACAATGTTTAGTCAAACTTCTCTTGTAATGACAACGACTATCTCGTCTTTTTTTCTCCTGCTGTGTGTTTGTTCTTACTCTCTCGTTTATCCTTTCTTCTGCTCATATTTCTTCCTCGTTCTTTCTCTTTCTTCTTTATAAATCTGTGTTGTGTGAAGTACACACTATTCTAGAGATATGGATTAGTTAATAAATATCGTCACGGAGCCTAGTGGTAAACTGTTCCTTCAGTTTGTCGTTACAGAATGAATTAAATCTTCATATGACTTATGGAAATTCTTCTTGCACGGCACGATAGAATCACTCGATAATACCAAATGATGGAAAATTAGATAAATCAGCACATATTTCAGGTAATTTTAACATGATACTTTGGTGTTTTATAGAAGGAAAGTTCGAAAATAAATTATGAATTGATCTTACACAATTTTTTTTTTGTCGATTATATAATTGATAAGCAATTCGTTCATAACAATAAATCATTATCGTTTTATTTAGATATAACATTTTGTCATGAACTATCTTAGAGATTTGAAGAGATTGTGGATAAAGAGAATAAGTCCATTCACACCTATATTATCCAATCATAATTTCATGGGATTTCATTGCAGATCCAATAAATCAAGTTACTAGTCTCGTTCTACTTTACTGGATTCATTTAGGTTTTTATTTAATAAAAATACGAATTATACAATTGATGATAATCTAAGTCTTATAGATGTGACGAATCAATATTTCTTCATATCGATCTATCTGAAAAACTGCTATTAATATGTAATCATAATGTTTAATATGAACTTGTCGTGGAATAATAATTTGTCATACAAATATGACTTCAATCTGTAGTCATACATTTATGAAGTTACTCTTATTTAACAATGATCTCAATGAAACATGTATATATAATGTCGTTTATAAATTTATTATTATATTCGATACCAACCGGAACTCTATTGGTATTCAAAATCATTGAATCTTAAATATATAGAACGATTTGAATTAATTATAAATACTAATAGAGATGAGTAAATTATAAAAGAAAATTAAAAAGGAAAAAAAACCGATAACAATAAGATATTATGGATTTATTTGATTTATTGTAATGACTACTATGAAAAATATAAATTATAATCGATTCGATCACCTAGCTTCGCTTTCTAACTTCTTTCTCAATGAAAACTAATAATCTTTCATAAATAGAAATTCCTTGAACCACATTTCACACTTATATTAATTGAAGATAAATATTCTAGTACTAAAGCATATCTTTTTTCGATCAGGATTTTAGCTGAAACGGAGCGTAAAAAACATTTGATAAAATCTATTTTCTTTTTCTTGATTTTACTCATCTAACGACTGATGCAAAAGTCTTGGCACAAATGTCGAGACCTGTAGTATTTCAACAGAAAGTGCTAGAGATCTAATTCTTCCACCATTAGATAGACCAAAGTGTCTGCTTTCAAACCCACTTTTTCAAAAAGTTTTTGATGAAGTTAAGGTTTTCAAATTTCAAATTTTTGAAAAACCACTAAAAACGACTTGTAACCATGCGAAATTAGGAAATGTTACGATAACACACCTTTATGTAAGTTTCACAGTTTTTCGCTGTGCTACAAAAATTTAGTAGCTCAGTGGCTACGATTCAAAAAAAAAGCTTGGTTCAATCAAACATAGTCTGGCTGAGTTATAAGTGGATTTAATTATGACGAAATTGGCGCCAAAGCGCTATTTTGTTCATTAGTAGTGTTTAGCTGATTTTCAGGAGATGAAAACGCCTATTCCCAGTTTTTCATACGGATTCTGAAAGGTCTTGAAAAACAGCATCTTTTGGACTCATTAAAAATTTTTGTCTTCCTAAAAATACCTAAATTGCGCACCAAAAACCCAACACTGCCGTGCTTTCGCGTAAAAGCCTGATTGAGGATTACCATGGATACGCACAAATTTCGGAGTGAGATTTTGAAAAACCCTACACTTCAGACTTGATTCCCTGGAAGTTTCAGCTCATTATCTATTAATTCGACAAGAATACTGTTGTTTTAAATTAAAAAGAGCGCGAAAAAGGATCAAAAGTTACAAACCGTTTTTAGTGGTTTTTGAAAATTTGAAATTTGAAAACCTTAACTTCATCAAAAGCTTTTTGAAAAAAGTGGGTTTGAAAGCAGACACTTTGGTCTATCTAATGGTGAAAGAATTAGATCTCTAGCACTTTCTGTTGAAATACTACAGGTCTCGACATTTGTGCCAAGACTTTTGCATCAGTCGTTAGTAATTAACGGGTAGCATAGATTAAATTGAACAATGTCATTTTCTTTTTTTTTGTTTGGATTATTTCGATACACTTCCAGAAAGTCATTCTATAGTTATTTGATAATGAATTTTTACTCCACAAAAATATATATCAAAAGATGCAGAATTTTGTGAAGAATTTGATGATATGCTTACCATTTCATCAAACTGTTGTTAAAAAAATCACTTTTCCATTTTTTTTTGGCTATCGCAGTTGAATGATTAAGGAAGTATTAATATTTAAAATTTTGCTTCAACAAACAAAAAACTTACTTGAACAAAGCTTGTTAGAGCAGCATCTTTGGAGTTGAAATATGTAACTCACATACATTTTCGTACATTAAACATTGCTTCGCTATTATTAGTGCTCATATTAGTTCCTTAACTCTAAACTTGTTTGTTTCTTTGATCTGAAAACTTTAACTAATGTTGTTTCGATATGTAAATCATATATGGAAGTTTCAGAAAAGTCTTCTGAGATTTTATCAGAACCTCTCTGTTTGTTTATACAAACATCCAACTATGATCAAGATACAATTCTAGTATGCTCCTGAATTCTGTTAGGTTTGAAACAATCCATAGTAAGAATCCTTCTACTTAATGATGTTGAGGTTTTACTCAACACTGATATTAACATTCGACTTGTGATCTGAAGATTAGCAAATCTTGAACGAAAGTCAGCTAAAATCTTGATGAAAACTTTATATCCATCTTTGAAGATCCTGGACATGATCAGCTATAAATATTGATAGGATCTTGAAAATCAAATTCTAAATAAACTCTAAGCACAAATCTGAAAGGATCTAAACAGTATCCTTGTATGTTCCTATCTAGATTCTAATCATGGACTGGTATTGTCTAATAAGGATCGGAAAATGTTTGTTATAAAAAATTCGAAGCAGAATCCTGATCGAAACTTGACAGGATTTATTCGTTTAAGTTTCTGATGAATCTTATTCTATACTTGTTAAGATCCTTCATTGATATAATCGTAACCCTAGATAGAATCCTCGTGTCAATATCGAGAATAGATCTTGACTAAATTCGGTCTGTTATTCTTATGAGGACTCTGACAAGGATCGAGAGTAAATCCTAATAAGATTCTGTACTCTTAACTCAGAAACAAATCTGAGCAGGAACTTCGATATTGATTTTCTTATGGAGTTATATGACACAGATGG